ATATTGTGATGTCCTATTTTGTTTCCTTTTGTTTCTTCTTTAACCCTAAAAAGGCCGGGGCGGAATCTGCCCCCTCCCCCCTAACTTTTTTCCGCGATAGCCTCTACAAATGTTCCGGCGCTACGTGCATATTTCCCCATACACATAGTGTACTCAACGCAGACTTACCATTCATGCATATGAATAATTAATTGGCCATAATTCCCAACCCTTTGACCTATAGTCAAGACATTTCTTGGGTATGTTCATGATAAGTTGTTCTATGCGTGTAATGAGAGATCTTAGGCCGAGATCGTAGGGGGAGGTGGAATCTGCCCCCCCCCCCCCCCTCCCTACCGGCTGTGAGATGGTCAAAATAACCGGGCCCTTTTAGGGTTAAAATATATTTTTTTAAACTACCTCATCCCTATCCCAAAGCCAAGCTTACCTAACCCTAACCCAAAGCGCAACTGACTTGCACACTGTAATTAGCTTCAGTAATTGTGTTCGATTTTCAAATCCATTTATGCTACTGGATTTGCGGATTTGTCATTTCATTGGTCCCAATTTCGCTTCACTCTGTGTATAGTGACGATGCCAATCCCTGGATCGAGGTGGACCTAGTTGAGAGTACAGCGGTGTGTGGCGTCACCACACAAGGCTTCAGGTTTACAGTACAAGGCCTTGAGTTCATTGGTTACGTGACACATTACAAAGTGTCCTACAAGAAACAACCCTCATCTGCTCTTGAAAACGTGACATATGAATACGGACACACCAAGGTAATATCAATTGGCCCCATTGTAATAGCAAAGATTGTTTTTTATTCAAGAACCACAAATATTACAACTGAGAGAGACACTTTGGGATCCCATCCTATAAACAACTTTGAAATTCAGACCATCCCGCATTGAAATTAGCCTCTGTACTGATGACGTCACACTTTGTTTACATGTGCACTTTCCTATTGAGCCATTTGAAGTCTAAGGGTAATCATTCATTGAATTCATTGCGGTTTTTGAGGCTTTAATTTCAGCCAAACTTTTTTTGAGTCTTCAATTGACGAAAAAGCAGTAAATCTAACCGGCGTTTTGTCAAAGACTACGGTCACGGCTAAGGGCATCACGTGAGGATCGTGATGGCCCGCGGGTTAGCATTCGATTAGCCTGGCTGTCGTGGCTAACCCGTCTGCCTTTACCCGTGTCGACCCGGGTGAGCTGAACGAACCTAAATAGCAAAACACACACGTAAACAAAGTGTGATGACATCAGTACAGAGGCTTACTCATACTACTGCCTAATACACAGTCTTCAGATGATATAGCGTACATTGCGTTCAACCTCTGGCTTTGTTTAAAAAAAAAAAAAAAAGCCCCGCCATTTCCCTGTATTTCGGGCTGTATTTGTTGAAAGACGACGCTTTATTTTGCACATTCCTTTTTCGTTTCAGGATTTCATCGGTAACACTGATGACTATACCCCGGTCGCTAACCTATTTGATGAGAGTGTGCTGGCCACGGTAGTGCGCATTGAGCCTACTGAATGTGAGACTCGGTGTAATCTGCGATTGGAGCTGCTTGGATGTCGCTGTGAGTAATTCAGAGAGCATTCAGGTAGATGCTGTTCGATTGTTAATGCTATATTTAGTAAGACGAATATTTATCTGATAGCTGGAACAAACTGAATATTTTAAATATTCACTACAGGCTCTTGCGTGAATGTATGACTTTAACTGCGTGTAATGCGGGAAAAACGCATATGGGTAAAGCTAAGGATAATATTGTAGCGGGAACTTATTGGGCTCTTGTCCTCCGAGTTCGGCCAAACGCAAGAAAAAGGGGCAACCACACATGATTTCCAACTTCTGAAGAAACTCTTATTTATTCAGCACAACAACTCTGAGGTCAACCTGCCACACTGCTATCAGTACCACGACTGCTGATTCCCAGCATAGAAATACACACAGTTAGGTGTACAGTAGATATATTCTTACCGTAATAAAACATTTGCACTTTGTTTTGAATATATTAATATTTGATGCACGTATATATTTATGTATAAATATGTTAGTACAGATTTGGACAATCATTTCTCAAACTGTGATCGTTCCATGCTTTATTGGTAAGGTTGTACATGCAGGTTAAACATAAAACATTAATTCAAACTTTCACGGGGCAAATAGAGTGAAGAGCCATTTGGCTTTTATATTTTTGGTTTATAACGAGGATGCAGGAAGTGATAATAGTTCCCAAATATTAATATGTCGGTGCGAGTTGCCATTCAGCTTAGAGGCTTGATCTCGATGTCATTGATGGGAAAACTACAAAATGTAGGCTTCAATTTTAGTTTAAATGCTGTGTCGCTTTGTCTTTGTGTTCGTGCTTAATTGTGAAATAAAAATGCCAATAAACAGGTCATGCATTTGGTTATAATTGTTTTCTCTTTTTTTTCATTTAGCTCTTCTCATTACTTTTCTTCCATCGAATCATAACTCTTATGAAAGCAGTTTTTGCGCTCTGCGTTAAAATGAGATGGGGGTACGATTGCGGTAGGGCTAATTGGATGGTGTCATTAAAAAAAAAATCGCATGTACACAAGATGTCATCTTTATTTCCGTTTACGGAGATTCCAGTCGACTTCAATGCAACGGTCTTATTTCAGCATCGAGAAGCAGTTAATGGTAGTGTACTGTTTTGAGGCCATGGGGACAGGTTGCAATGTGCAGAACATTTCTACTTCTTAGTAGCGCCAGAGGGCGCCCTGCAATGGCACAATGTCAGCAATGCATATGTCTTGACTCTATATGTAAAATAACACCATGGCAACACCTGCCATCATTGTTGACATGCAAAACAAGTTATGGAATTGTTATTCTTTAAGAAAATATACTTTTATCAAAGGGAGTTGACTTTACCTTTCTATATGAGCAACAAAAAGGTAAAGTGCCATGTCTAATTTAAACAGTGATTATGTGAATAAAAACATAGTTTCCTAAAATATTCTTATTATTTGCGACCTATACAGCTAACTGACAATGTGGACATTATGTGTGAACAATCACACGACGACCACGTAAGTGTCTCAGAGAGTATCAGGCTCGATACGACTGAACTATGAGATGACCCTACATAATTGACGGAAAAGAACTACATGACACAAAACTATCGCTCCATGAAGTCAAAAATCGACAGGAACAAATGATGTTAGGTAACAATCAAAGATTGGTAACCAACAATGTGATTTCTAATTGTCATAGTTACGAAAAAAATAATCATAGTAGTTATTTCTAAATAAATCTCATTCTTTGGAGTTTCTCATAAACCAATATACAACCCTAACAAATCACGGTTAAAGAGCGCGCATACACACATCCCGAGTGCAGACATATTCATTGCAAACACAGTGGTCTTGGGCAAAAAGGCGACACCAGCCAAGTCTTAAAGTACGAAAATACTCGATGGTTTCCATTGTAGACAACGGTAAAAGCGTTGGACGAAAAATTGTATGACGCCAACAAGCGATCGTCTTGAAGATGAGGCCATTTAGCAACCTTGTTCCCAGGTTAAATATAATTTCAGTCGCAGTCTCGAAACTTTAAAATTGCCAAATTGTAAACTATTTGTTATCTAGCGCAACACATTACTTTAATTTAACAAACGAAATCAGACAACAAGCTTAAGGAAGGATATATTTTTTATCATCATGATCATTTTTGTGCATGTATTTTAGATAATTTGAGATTTTGTTTTTAGACAGTTTCACTTTAAATTACTAGGAAGTCAAGAGTTGGTTGCAGCAAAGCAACTGAGATACTACAGACAATCAGTCAATGGACACAACTTGGACTCACGGCACAAGATGTTGGCGAAAACCTGTTCTTTCAGTTTCCCTTGTTTTTTTTTCTAAATTAAGTGAGTGTTCTCTGACTTGGTTTCAGTATGGCATGCCGAATACACGCCCTGCTAGTAGGCCATCAGCCTCGGTCCAAAATTTTGGCCACCGGTATCATATGAGAGGAATAATCGTCATAGCAATTATTGGCAAGGTATACACATTCGGAGTTGGAAAATATGTGATAGCATTGCAACAGTGGCAGCTTTTTGGGTGTTATCACCCTTTTTTTCAAAATGTCCATCAAAATGCTTGTTACCACTCTAGGAGCGGTATACCTTGCGCATGCTCATTATAATCATTTATGCCCTGATTTGATACTGACCAAACCCCCAGGATGATGGCCTAAAGGGGGTCCAGAGGTATTCCGTTTGGCCTCGATTTATTAACATCATAGTATATTTCAGAGAATGAACGTGGGCTTAAACTTGCTTTCAATATTTTGCATTTTCGAGTCCTTCTGACGGTTTGGCATATTATTCTATTAGCACTGTGGATATCAAGGACAATTCTTAGTTATTGCAATCGCCGCGCTCTCGCTTTATTTAATTTTCTAAATGTTCATTGTGAATGTGTTGCTATTTTTGGACCAGGCGTGTTGGAAACAGAGGGCTCTGCGTTTGTGACCGGAAGACATTTCGGTTCGTTGGTGATGCCAGGTCGCCTGATATCGATTTCAGGCTGTATACGATTGCAGTAGGCTTTATTGTTCAATGTCCATTAAAAAATATGTGTACAGCCACAACCTGAAACAACTGGACTGTTCCCATTGGCTGTCATGTTAAATTCTTCAAGTATTAGCTCCGCCCATAAGCTGTCATGTTCAAAGAATCAGACAATTGCGACCATCCCCCCATCAGGCTTGTTCCTGATTGGCTAGGTTCGCTATGACGTCAGCCTGTTGCGCGGTCTACAGCTGCGGAGCTGCTGAGGCACGCTGCTTGTTGGTTCGCGGTAAACGACCAGCCTTACAAATTCTCGATCATATTGCATTCGGGCACGATTCAAGCTGAGACACTTTCAAGATTGTTGTTCAGTAGTCTACGTGCGTAGCTGCCTGTTCATTTGCGCTGTCGTGTGAGTCGTTGATCCCAGCGGATTTGTGCTCAGATTTCACCTGCATCTTGTAGAATGTACGGAGCATCAGCTTTGGTTCTGATGGTGTCGGCAATGGCAGGTAAGAATTAATGTATATCACTTGTAGCACGCCCTGGAATTTTTGACTGGTTTGTGAGCAAAATCAGGCAAGCTACAGCAGGATTAATTACACAATGTGCCTGTCTCCCACTTACTTTTTAACGTAAAACCTCCGATAAAAAGAGTCGATTGCATGGTATTTATTTTGATTAACCTATCTGGAACGGTGAGTTGGTTTGTGGATGTTCATGCTGTCATGTGCATGCTTAAACAAAATTTATTTTCATGTGATAATCGACGTGGTGACCAGAAAGGTGCAGAAATATTGATATTGACCGCTATATATTGTACTGTATGATTAACTCTATCTACATCCTGGCCAAATCTCGCTGGGCCCCCAACCCCCCAGCCCCGCTCAATGATGTCTCTCATTGCGCGGTGTGTGCTCCATCCGCTGGAGAGAACAACATTGTCTCTCATTTCGTGGTGTGTGCTCCATCCGCTGGAGAGAACAACATTGTCTCTCATTGCGCGGTGTGTGCTCCATCCGCTGGAGAGAGCAACATTGACTGGGGGAGCGGGGGAGTTGGTGACCGTTGGAGGCTAGGGTTATTTCCAAGTGTCCCAACCATTTTGGCCGGGATTGTGTGAATGTACAATAGCCTTGATATTGGAGTTGTATATTGCGCGTAGTACTCGCTCAAATAATAATACACACACGCGCGCGCTGGTAACATGGTCAGTGCACACGATTCACCATGACGGTGCACCATGTCATTTTGGCCGATATTTTTACAAAATACGTGAAAGCCGTATTAGGATACACAAACAACGTGTCATCTTCTTCAATATGTTTTTAATCCCTCATTTGGACGAAACATCCATCCAAACCATAGTGTAACCACGGTTCACCACTGTAAATTATATAAGAAGCAGAGTCACTCAATTCCTTTATATTTTGGTTTGGATGGATCACCGATAGATTTTTCAGCACATTACCGGAATGAGTGAATACAAACAAATTGACAAGGATTGTATGTTGTTTGTGTATCATAATGAGCCTTTCAAGTTAAACACAAACTGTATTTTGTACTGTTGTTGGCCAAAATGGCATGATGAATCGTCATGGCGAACCGTCACGATACATGCAGCAATAAAGTTGTGATTTTAAAGAATTGGAACATTTGTATTTTTAATTTCCGTTTTGTATTACTATCAATCATTATTATCTGGCCTAAATATGTGTTCTTTCATTCAGCCTTCGGCCGCCATTTCATATTTTGGAAACATGTCATGCATATTTTGAAAAATGAAAAAAATCAGACAATCCTGGCCAAATCTCGCTGGGCCCCCAACGCCCCAGCCCCCGCTCAATGTTGTCTCTCATTGCGCTGTGTGTGCTCCATCCGCTGGAGAGAACAATGTCTCTCATTGCGCGGTGTGTGCTCCATCCGCTGGAGAGAACATTGTCTCTTATCGCGCGGTGTGTGCTCCATCCGCTGGAGAAAACAACATTGACCGGGGGAGCGGGAAGTTGGTGACCGTTGGAGACTAAGGTTATTTCCAAGTGTCCCAACCATTTTGGCCGGGATTGTCTGAATGTACAATAGCCTTGATATTGGATTTGGATATTGCGCGTAGAGGGGGGCGCTCAAATAATAATACACACACGCGCGCTGGTACCATGGTCAATGCACACGATTTACCATGACGGTGCACCATGTCATTTTGGTTGATAATTTTACAAAATACAGATTGTGTTCGACTTGAAAGCCGTACTAGGATACACAAATAACGTATCATCTTCTTCAATTTGTTTTTAAAAGCAAGCCTAAGAGATATGCATTGCGCACAAACTGTCCTCTATTGATCATTTCATTCTCATTTTTTATTACTATCAATCATTATGCGGTTGTTATGTCATGGATCGAAGTCGTTCGCCAATACTTTGAATTAGCGAGACTTAGAAAGGGGGTGGGCAGTTGTGAAATATTGCCCCCTTACGCCTCGGTTGGTAAGCCTCTGCTATCAAGACTTAAACAAAAATTAGAAGGAGCATTGGCAAATAGTCTGTATCATTTGGATGTGCTGCGGTGAACTTATGAAGACACGTTCCTATTAGTTTGGCTTTTGGGGGGGGGATGTAGGTCCAATGATGACATTTTGATTTAAATCCTTTCAATTCGGTACAATCATTCTTGCGGCATTTATCTATTTGTTTTTTTGGCAGTAAAAGTCACCATGCATGGGTTTTCTTTATTGTACAAAACAAACACCAAGTTTATTTATTCAGCCAATCTATTTCACAGAGCCATCTTGGCGTATTATATGCCTTCCGTGGTTTTGTTTTGAATTTATTTTGTATTGATTCCAAAGTGTTGTTGATTGATGTGGAGAGCCAGCAGAGGGTTTGTTACTCCGGTCCCCCACCTGAACCTGATCCTGATAATCCGGATGACTGGATGAAGCAAGTCATGCAAGAGATACGGGAAATTTGCCCTGGAAAGAGGGAACCTATCCCAGCTGGTCATACTACAGTGGGAAAGGAACCGACCCCAGCTGGCCATACTACCATGGGAAAGGAAACTACCACAGCTGGCCATACCATGGGAATGGAACCAACCCCATCTAGTCATGTTACGATGGGAAAGCAATCTACCCCAGCTGGTCATACTACGATGGGACAGGAATCTACCCCAGCTGGTAAGGAGAACCTACCCTAGCTAGTAAGGCTTAAGGTCAAAATACACCAGTTTCACCAATCATTCCTGAAAGAATAACAATAAGCCCCCACACGCTTCAGAGTGAAGCGGGCAACGATACAGACTGGCCACCAAAACCACTCGCGGTTGGGTGCCCTCAACGCTCATCGACTTCGCTCAACAATAGAGAGCTTAAAGGATTACGTTCTATTGCGGCTGCTGGGTGACTCATCACATGTACACCCAGTCCGCAAGCCACGGTCGGTCCGCCAGTGGCCCACCGGTGGCACCGCCGGTGGGCCGCCGGTACATGTAGAACCTGGGGTGTGAAAGGGGCATTAGTCTGTGGAGTTGATCGTCTTTTGTTGAATGGAGAGATTATCTCTGCATGCTGGATACGGCTGTACTATTAATATGTGCTCTTCATGGCTGGCCAATTGACACGACAATCCTGTCGGACAATGGCCTTTCATAATAAGCTCCAAGCCCCAGCATTCGAGCGGTCTGCTCTGAATCGAGGGAGAGGATCAAAGAACCTGCCGCACAGCCGCCTCCAATCGGGAAATGATTCCTTCCTTCCCTGCTGTCGGGAAACGCTTCCTATTGAAGCGGGCAGCGATAAGAAAAAGGGATTAAGTTCTATCGGGAATGATTGGTGAACCGTATGATTGTATTGTGAATGATTGTATTGTGACCTTAAGCCTAAGTCGTCACGTGATCTCCCATATCGTACGTACAAGTTAGGTCCGTTGATTTATTATAACACAAGGTTTTAGTGCAATGTGATTGAAGATTTTATTTTCACTAAATATTAAGGTTCGTTGAGGGCTGCAAAGGACGCTGGACGCCATATAACGAGAAAGATTGGATCTGCTTTACATTTTGTTTTAACGGATTTTTTTGCTTCCAAAATGTTAGCCACCTCTTCTTTATTCGAAGGATAATTTCAGGTGGTAAGAAGCAACTCCTTACAAGAATATTCTACCAAATGTATTATGTTTGCCAGTACTGGGAGGGGGTCTTTTTACATGTTTGCAATAGTTTACTTGCATTGGGGTTTTTTATAGTGAAACGTGCCGCCATGGAATTGTATTACATCCCAAAACAAAGCCCACGATTAAACTAATTAACCACATCAACCATATCAAAAATATTAGTTTCAATAGCATTTTCAATTCGTTTGTAAACTCGTATGTTACCAACAGATTGTTCAAGTCCACAACCCCTAGGCATGGAGGACGGGACAATCCAAGATGAACGTCTCACGGCGTCCAGCACTTTGAACTGTTGCCCTGCCAGTGATGCACGCTTAAATACTGATAATAAATGGATACCCTCGAGGTAGGTATCAAAGGGAAATTCCACTCCCATTTTGTTATGCACCCTCCATAAGTACAATACCAACATAAAAAAAAAGCTCCGTAATGGGATTAAATTCGACTGATTCACAATGCTGTGAGCCACCAAGATTTTGCCACAAAAAATATTTTTTTCCAGTAAAATGTGGCATATAGTCGACAATTTCACAGCCTATTTTTTTAGGACATTTGAAACTGTTATTTTCCGGCAAGTAGTTTCGTAAGCGTATGATTAGAGGATATGTTTGCCCTTTTCTTTTGTTTAAATCAATATTGGTTTTTTTTGTAAGGCGGCAGAACACTATGCCGCAATCTATGACAAATTAGCTCAAAATTAAGTTGTCGATTGACACCACTTTGTCGACCGTAAGCTTGAAATAAGGACTCTCCATTGCAAACTCTTTGTGGTGCCCTACATTGAGAATCACCCGAATTAATAAGCATCTAATTACACAGTTCAAAGTTTGAGTGTGGTTTTTTATTTTTGTAATGTTCTGTTTTACTTTTATTACTTGACACCTGTTTTATTTTGTATTTATCCCCTCTTTTTCAAATTGTAGCTTGATCCATCATCCCAAACCGAATGGGCAAATGAAACGCACACTCTAACGTGTTTCAAATCATATTACATAACCGGATATATGGGGTATTGCTACTTTTTGTTCCTTATCCTCTCTTCACTCTGTGTACAGAAAAGACGCCAACCCCTGGATCGAGATGGACCTTGTTGAGAGTACAGTGGTGTCGGGCGTTATCACACAAGGCTCCGGCGGCGCTTATTATGTTGCGCAGTACAAGGTGTCCTATCAGAAGCAGCCCTCATCTGACTATGAACACCTGACAGATGGAAACGACAACATGAAGGTAGTTTGAGACATTTTGACTTAAATCTCAACTGGTTCTTGAGTCTGTACAATGCTATGGATATACTAATGAAAGGGTGTAACGCCATGTTGCTCTATTGAAGATCCGCAAATTTTTGAAGCTGAAATAGAAATTTAAGGAGCACAGTTAAATATGGCATTTATGACATAAGGTCGAACTAAAAAAAATATATCTACGCACCGTGGTCATACAGTTAGGATTTCTAGTATTCATAATTTGTAAAACGTCTGTTTCGAGAAAAGACCCCGTCTGTTAAGATTTTCTGGTTTTGGGGTATCTCGGTTCAAGGCGTTATTTTAATTAACCCTAAAGGGGCCGGGTTATTTTGACCATCTCTCAGCCGGGGGGCGCCCCCCCCCCCCCTAAGATCTCGGCCATCGAGTGACGAAAAATTTTGAAACTCGGCACATGCATAGAGCAACTCTTCCTAAACATACCCAAGAAATTTCATGACTATAGGTCAAAGGGTTTTGGAATTATGGCTAACTAATTATTTATATGTACGAATGGCATTTCTGCTCTCTGTACACGACGTATATGCGAAAATTCAGCTTTCACGGCGCGTAGCGCCGGGAAAATTTTCGCTACGCGGCAACCCATGGTCCGATTTTTATGTTTTTGGTATCAAAAGATGCGCAAAGCTTGAGGCTAAAAAGTCATAACAGCTCGGGTCGCGAAAAAAATTTGTAGAGGCTATCACGGAAAATGTTGAGGGGGGCGGATTCCGCCCCCCCCCGGCCCCTTTAGGGTTAAATTGTTCTTGTTGCACTCGAGCGTTGATTGTACACGTTTTTGTTTCAGATATTCATCGGTAACACTGATGCCAGCACCCCGGTAACCAACCTGTTCGATGAGAGTGTGGTGGCGACGGTAGTGCGCATTGAGCCCACTGGATGGAATGGTGATGCTGCTTTGCGATTGGAGCTGCTTGGATGTCGCCTGGATTAATTCAGCTGAACCATTCAGGTGATTCTGTTCGACAGCGTTGACAAAATGTCATTCAATACAAAGGTAAACTATGACATAGGGATCAAGATTGAATGCCGTTTTTGGTATGAGGAATATTTTTCAAAAAGCAGAAAAAGGCTGAAGATTTCCAATAAGCACTACAGGCTTTTGCGAATATTTTTTGTATTTAACTAAACGGTATATGTTTGGAAAACGCATGGATTAATGTGTACGACATATACTTACATTAATCAACCTATTGGCTCGAAAAAATTATCTCACGAAATATGAAAGCGAAGTTGTGTTTAAAAAGTTGGCTCATTGTGTATTGTTTGTGTGGCGCCTTCTTTCTTTTCAAAAGTGCTTTTTCTCTAAATAGGAACTGCTGAGGTACTTTATCATCATCATCATCATCATCATCATCATCATCATCATCATCATTCTCTGTATCCATCATGGGGGACATTGAGCCGCCCAGACCAAGTGATAAGATGCAGACTGCCACAGCTGATGTGCACGTGTCTTGTGGTCAACTTCTAGCTGGCGCACCCAGACGTTGCGAGGTCAGCCCCTGGGTCTCTTCCAGGCACTGTCAGGCTGGAGTCCCCGTAGTGGGTCGACGCTCAGCTTAAGAGCAGCATGGGCGGGCGGTACTTTATAGTTAACAAATATATATTTACTATTAAACAGTTTGCTGTTCTCGTAAATCTTCAATTGATTGTTTCCATGTATTGTTTTAAAAAATATCAATATGAAACGTTAGCATGTTAAACAAAATTGATAACAATTATTATTATTATTATTATTTATTCGACCATCACAAAAACAAAACAAAACAAAATTGAGTAAAACGAGCATAAAACAACAAACAACAAGTACAGTAAGACGGTAGCGGGGACCTGGGACGAAAATCCGAATACATGACAAGACAAATGACAGTTATGTGGGTCAGGGACCGCAAAAGTAAAATGAACTACTATTACCCGCTAACTGAATTGTTTCAAAACATTTCGGAATTTTGATTATAATTAGTAACTCAACATTTGAGTAGGACGGTTCCTATTCCATGCGAATGTGATCCTGAAACGCAATTGGAGTCAGGAAATGTACTCAACTCTTGCGAATTCGCATCGAAAAAATCTTGACGCGAAGTGACGAATTCGCATTCGCGTTCGCTTTCGTGCCCAGTGTGTTAACCGGTGTAAAACGATTGTGAGCTTTTTAACTGTATAACGTAAATTTTATTCACTGTGATAATTTGCTGTAAATATAAGAAAATATAATTCACGATATCAAATACTAATTTAGGTGAATAGGTTGGTTTGAGATGTATAGTGTACTGTGGTTCCTGTAATTCCATATCTTATTGACGGTTTATTTAGAAAATAATTCAAAATATACAAATATATACATTTATGTTAGATAATGTTACAGTGATTGACGACTGTTTTAAACAATTTTATTTAGCGATGCTTAAATTGCGTAGGCTGAACAGCTTTATCAGAATTCCCTAATGACTAAATTTCCGGAGTCAACTAGATTGTTGGTCAGGGTTTCTATATGGAAAATGAGAAAGCAGGAATGTTTGACCAAAAAAAAAAAGAATATTTCCCAAATATTAGTAGTTCTGTGTGGCTTTCACTTCATGTCGATTTGCAAAAACGAGAAACTGAGGGACAGCCATCTTCATATCTTAAAATAATAACCTGACCAAAAAAAATTGTTCTAAATAAATTCAGATGCTGTTTTCTCTTTTAGAATATGCTTGTGCTTGTGAAATAAATATATATTCAGTTAAAACATACATTGGTTTAATAGTCGCAACTAACAATTTTTTAGTTTGTATTTCGTTCCATATGCTTAGCCAGTCTGAAATCAATAGAATTACACCTGGTAAGGTACAGTATTTGAGGCAACGATTGAAACCCAAATGTAAAACAAACAACAGTCGCCACATTTACAAATCATAAAACAGTTGAAAAGCAATAACCTACATGAGATTGGCACGTGAAACTTTTCGGATTAAGAGTTTATACAAATTCACCTCAAAATCACTCCTTTTGGCGACATACTTTAAACTAAAACTTCAACCAGCAGGGGCAGGTATAGAGACACAATGAAATCAGAATGTACAGAAACTACAAAGTCTGGTCTTCCCACGTAAAAAGGTTAGTTTTCAGGCACAGACCAATCCGTACGATAATCTTACTTTGGTGTGCAGAATTAAAAGGAGATTTCGCGCGTGCATCGCACTGACTGCAGGGATAACTTTGTAATATATTCATAAAGGAAGTTGTGCAAAGTTTCAATATATGGTGCCTCCTAAAAGGCGCACTAACATAAGTCGGCGGATGAATGGGGGCTTTGCAAACCCCTCCCCCCTCCAAGGCTTAGTTTGATTTCATCTGTATAGTTTTAGGAGCCACAGGGAAAAAAGAAGGGCCTCTCTGCCATATGTTATGGGTAAATTGCTTGTAATCTTTTGCTCGGCATATTCTATAAACACTGCGAACAACAGGGACAAAGTTTCTTTGTTACTATATCTGTGCTCTCGCTTCATTAAATTTGGTAAAGGTTCATTGTGAAAGCGTTGCTATATTTGGACCAGGCGTGTTGGATACAGAGGGCTCTGCGTTTGTGACCGGAAGACCTTTCGGTTCGTTGGTGACGCCAGGTCGATTGATATCGATTTCTGACCGCATGAAACTGGAGCAGGCTTTGTTGTTCAATTTCAATTTAAAAAAATCTTTAAAGCCAGAATCTGCAATAATTAACAAGACGGTTTCCATTGGCTGTCATGTTTAGTGCTTCCAGCTTTAGCTCCGCCCAAGTTTAAACTCAATTAAATCAGAAAGTGTCGATGCGACCGTCTCTGCCTTGGTAAGGCTAGTTCCTGATTGGATAGGCTTTCTTTACGTCAGCCTTTTCCGTGGTTTACGTGGTTTCCGTGGTGAGGTGGGCTGCATGTTGGTTTTGTGTACTCGGTGATATATTATACGATCACCTAGCAGATTCTCCATCATTGCGTCAAACACGGTTTGAGCTACAGTTTAAGTAAGCTACTTTATAATCATCGTTTAGAGCTCCTTATGCGTAGCTGTCGCTTAAGTCGCATTGGTGATGTGGTGTTTGCGTGGCTGAATAATACAAACAACAGTTAACAGATTGTCGATCCTTGCGATAAGCGGAGAAAATTTTAGGCAAGCTTTTAAGCTGAGGCTCTTTCGTGATTGTTGTTCAGTGGTCTGCGTGCGTAGTTGCCTTTTAATTTGTCTGGGCGTGTGAGTCCATCAAAAATACACCCAGCGGATTCGTGCTCAGATTTCACTGCATCTTGGAGAATGGACGGAGTAGCAGCTTTGGTGCTGATGCTGTCAGCAGTGGCAGGTAAGATTTTACAAATCCATAACCTCCTCGAATCTTGGAATGGTTGGTGAGCATCAGCAGACAAGCGCAGCCATCGGTGACACCATGTGTATCCCGCCCATTTATTTTCAAAACATAACCCGATTAAAACAGTTCATCGGTATTAAAGTTGGTGAGGTTTGACAGGAAATGACTTGTGGATGTTTATGCTCTTGTGTTTACTGATACAACAATTATTTTCATATGATAATAGACTTGGTAACAAAAAAGAGGTAAATAATATTGTGTGATTAACTATATCTAGGCGCGTGGAAAGATCATGTTTGAATTGAGGAAATGTAAAAAGTTAAAATCAAAGAGACATACGGTGTGCATAAATGTTCCTCAATTTATCATCTATTCTGAGTATAAAGGCGAAGAGGTCCTTGCAGTTGTTCTCGACGATCGAAGTCCTTAGCCAACACAACTGGCGTGTCATAGAAAGAACGCGGGGCAATTGTGAAATATTGGGAGGGTCTAATAACCCATTACAAATCTGTTGGTACGCCACTGCTACCAAGACCAGGGTATAGACAGGCATTATCATGTTGCGGCCATCTTGATTTTTTCCCCATTTAAATCAACGTAACCAAAGCGAGGCTGCAAGGAAAAAAATAGTCTCGTTCCTTTTTGAACAGAAAACCTTATCATTGAGTATAGGCTACTGTTATTAGAAAAAAAAAAGGAACATGACTGGAATGGTGGCAGAATGATAAAGGTCTATTTGAAGGATTTCTATATACTACCTGGATCTGTATAGCAATGCAATATATGTTTCATGAATAGTGCATTCATGAAATATATATTGTCTCCATAATTGGCAACAATATTGAATAGTGCAATATTCAAGGGTATGAATTCCCTTTAGTCTGGTTTTTCTTTACTTACTCCAAAGTGCTCTTGGTTGAGGTTGAGAGCGAGCAGAGGGTGTGTTACTTCGGTTCCCCACCGGAACCTGATCCTGATAATCCGGATGACTGGATGAAGCAAGTCATGCAAGAGATACGGAAGCGTTGCCCGGGAAGGAGGCAACCTACGTCAGCTGGTAAGTCGTCATATGATCTACCATACCCTAGGTACAACATAAGCATGTGGACTTGGGGGGTGTCAGTGTGTTCGGGTGTTGCGGTTGATCGCCTACGTAGCGGCTAATTACCGCAAACGGGGATACAAAATGAGCAAGTCGTCCGCGAAGCGGTCGACAGGCGGCGAAGCTTTTTCGAATAGCCGGAGATGCGAAGCCTCGTTTTTACGAAATATCAACGTTCATCGAGAGGTTGCCAGGAAGCTCGACGACAGCTAATGGGCAAGTTAAGATAAATCTGCTTGTCGAGCGCCTGGAGGGTTCCTTGTTTGTGTAAAAGATCACACTTTCTTGCAACGATATGGTCACAATGCTTGAATCAGCCTGTTTAGGTTTTATGTTCATTCTTTTTAATGGGTTGCTTTTTTCAGTTTCTAACAATATTACCCAACTCCTCTTAATTCAAAACCATAGAAAAATACCATGAATAAAATTTTCAGGTGGTTATGAGCAACTCCTTAAATGAAATGAAATAGGATTAGCCTTCCCAGAGAAGTACGTTGGTGCATGGTCATATTCCGGCTAATTGTTCTCCCAGATTC